AAGTATTTTGTAAATTATATTATTTTAATGAATTGGGTCCACTGGGTCCTTTAGCCTACAGAGTTTGTCCTATCTGAGTGAGTTTGCAGGTTTGTATGCTACACTAATTCCTGCTCTATTGAGAATCCTATGTGGGGTCTCAGATGTCCCCTCCTTATATGGTATAACAGTAGATGCCTTATGTTCTTCCTTACTAATGTTATCATTACTAGTTTCACCATTATTTTTATCTTGCTTTTCACCTTTTTGATACTCCTAATGAATTTTATAGGATAGTTATTTAACCCTAAAGCTTCTTCTCCTTCTATCTATTTCATTTCATCGTTTAAGTGTTTTGTTGTACTACTTAGTGCCATTACTCAGTTAGTTGAACACTTAACTAAAGCAACCTTCACAAACAACGGATGAGATGAATTAAAGTCCAAATGTCTATTAGCAGAATGAGTTGGTTTTTTATAAACACTAGTGTGCAGATTACCTTCTTCTGTTCATTTTATTTTACAATCTAACATTGCTAATTCTTCTTGTTCATTTTCCGATTCTAATGTGAACTGTATTCCCTTTACTAGTGAGTTTTTGTCAAGAAGCTAGAGATACGTTTTTTTTTAACACCGTAAGAACAATAGTAAATTTCAAAATACGCCGACATATGAATTATCAAAACACTTAGCTCTAATACTATGTCCCATTAGAAATCATTCAAACTGCAATATTATGGAGTACCCACCAGTCAGCAAGGAGTATCTTCAAGCCTAAGGAACCCGTATTCCTTCTGAGATTCTAACTCGTGTGAATGATGTTGTCAGTAATCCATCCCGCCTCAGGATTGACCTCTTCCTGTCCCGTAGAACTGTAATGCACACCTTATCTGGGTTACTAGGTAGTCGCAACCATTGTTATGCATCTACTCCTTCGTTTCGTTAATTCGTGCAGGCTGAACTCCACCAGTTAAGTTCCCAATTCGCTACTATGCTAGGTGTTTCTGCTTCAAGATGTAAACTGAATTGTAATTAGACAGTTGGCAGGAATCTGCACACTGCGATGGTCGAATACGTAGTCACCACACATCCTCAGGTTACCCAGAGTTGCCACGTTTCACAGGTGGAGAGCAAGACTGCACGCACGGAAACGTTGTAAACCTGACTTTTGACAGGGAGCTAGGCTAACGTCGTGACGGCACTAGTGGTGGCTCAAATTAGCGTATACCACACTAGTTTTTGTAATATCGTTGGATATCTCATCCATCACACTCCCGTCAGCACTCACACACACATCTACTCAGATACACGAGCCTACCAACAATTTCAAGCGGTTCACCTGCAGCAAAAGGTAGGTGCAGGAACACAGTCTCTTGCCAATCTGGTAACGTACTTTCCATTTGGATGACGCAGAGCATATGCCATACTTACAGATACTGATCGCAAACTGGTTAAGGGCAATTTAGGCGACCTGTGTGCTATCTGATACACAGTAGTAAGATGAGACCGTCAGTATACTCGAGGCGTCGACAAGCCTTTCTCCAAGGGGCGGAGAATTGTAAGACACGGCAGCCTATTATTATCGTGTAGCGGATTGGATAATGCAGCTGACGATGAGGTGTAAGAAAGTTGCAATTTGAACCGCTAAATAAAAGATTTTAGAAGATATGATCTTTGAAGATAGTTTACGCTTTGTGTCATATAAAACTCGAAGATAGCTAAAGGTGAGACAAATTTCCTTGTGGAGATAAATAGAACAGCACAACAAAGGAGATCCAATTTTTCCGGCATTCATGTCGTCAGTATACATCAATCAATACGGTCCCGTGAATTGGCACGTCATCACGCACAAAGCATTCCGAAAACGCGGGAAGGCTGCAGATTTCTTACAACAGCCTCCCCACCACCACTTTGCGTTGCCTTGATAATAAAGATTAGATAGCTGTTGACCCTAAAGAATAAGCAACACCGGACGGTGTTGGAACTTTACACGCCAACGAATAACCAGTTCAAAGAATACTTCTGTCTGACGGCTTAACTGAACCTCTTTATGTTACAGCACAAGTGTTCATTCTACGAGGGCGATATTATGTAATAATGTAAGGTTTCATAGTACTAATTTGGAAAATAGGATATATAATCAAGTATAGAATATAAATACGGGGAATCTAATTTGTGTGGGACAGATCTTAGCTCAATATTTTATTAATGCTGATTCGTAAAACGAAATTATTTAACCAAATTGTTTTTCTAGATTCACAATTTTCTTTCAACCACCCAGTAAACAGAGTCCGGACTCGAAATTATGCCGCCAGCAAGGAAATACGCTACAGAGAGTTGTGATCTGACAACTGTGATGAGAACCGGGAGTGTCCGTTTGAAATACTCAGTGTCCCCATTTATGTTTAACTTCACCATGTGTACTAATGGACTTAAGCCTAACTGAATTCAGTGACCCCGAGGTTAAATCGTTAATACTTATACCAGCGGATAATCTCGTTGACTTCATGCGGAAGACGCTGACAAAATGCTGTCTTCTGAACAAACTTTGAGGAGTAACAATCTTCGGATATTTAGCATGCGATCCGCATCTACTTTCAAATGTAAGATGATGCTACAGGACTACTTGACTACATCGACTCATTCCTAGCTTAATTGTAGACAGCAGTGTAGTGGTGATTGGGCGAGTTGACTACCACTCCATTTATTTGGGAGGTTTTTGCATCAGCCAGCCCACTGACGAAATCCCACCATAAATGCAGTAGGGTCGTTGGGCACTTCTCAACCAAACTACGGCATATCTGGCCTAGTAGACGTGATAGCCAACTGTCTGTCAACCATAGGACATACTGCACGCAGACAGCAGCAGTTCACTCAGTCCTACTTAGTGGTTGTGAACGAGACACTGGCATTCAAAGAGGAAGCCAGACATTCGTAGGCCGGCAAGCTAGCAACCTTTCACCATAGGCAGTGTCCGTGTTGTATCTATCTCCCATGTTAGGTCAGGTGGTATAGTAGTGCGAGCAATATTCAGTTGCTGAGGCATCGGTGGAGTAATAGGTAAGTAGGAGGAGGGGAAATCAATCGAAGAGGGTGTGAAGCAGTTACATCGATTAAGTGAGATGGTTAGGATACGTGTTAAACATGCATCCCTAGCTTTCCATAGATCGCCTTACTCGCTGACTAGCAATGTTAGCTTAGCTGACATAGGATGGATCAGGTTGGAAAATGAAAACGTGGCTGGCTTCATAAGTCAATGAAATCCATAACAACAATTAGTTAGCTTAAGCCAGCTAGCCACCCACGTAGGGAGGTGTGTAGAAGTCCTGACTGATTGCTTTGCGTCATCAGATTGATTAGAACCACTGGCTGCTAGAGACAATTTGTGTCACATTTGGCTCAAAATCATCGTTTTCTGTGACGGTGCAGATGCATTCATTCTTCGTGAATCGTCAATATAAGTCTATTATTCCTCCTTAACACTTTTGTTTATTATCTTTTTTCTGAATCTCTATACATAGACAGTGGCAACTCGAAGTTTCGCTGCATATCTGCACAAAGTTCTATGTTAAAACCAGTCAGACAGACAGTTTTTGGATGAAAATCTTCATCAAGTGCGACAAATGAATCTACACCTCTGTTTAGATGGAAATGCTCGACGATATGCTTTCTCAGTCTGTCTGTCTGTTTTCGACATAGAACTTTGCACAAATGTGCGGAAGTTCAAGTCGCCACATTCCGTGTAGCACGCGAAGCAAGAGAAGAAAGTACAAGAAAAGCATAATAGAAACAGTGAGCAGAGGTGTGAGACAAAGGAGAATAAAGAATAACAAAAGTTTCATTGGAGATCATAAGTCACAGGGAGTGGATGCATCTGCGCCACTGAGAACGATGAGTTTGAGCCATGTCACCAATTGTTTCCAACCATTGGTTTTTACCGTCCCAAGGACGCCAGCCTGGAAGTCTACACCTTCCTACGTGGCTACGACCAACTGTTGTGGATTTCATTGACTGATGCCAAGTTTTTGTTTGACCGCCGCTAGCTTTTTTCCAGCCTGACCCTATATCCGCTAACATTGCTCGTCGAGGGAGGCGATGGCCTGGCATACGTAACACATGTCTTAACCATCTCAGCCGATGTAACTTCACGACTTCGTCGATTGATTTCCCCTGTGTACCTAGAACTCTACGCCTAACCTCCATGTTGCTCACCTTATTATGCCACTTTACACGGGAAATAGAACGCAGGCACCTATGATCAAAGACAGCTAGTCTTTTCATGTCTTCCACTCTCAGTGGCCAGGTCTCACAACCATAAAGGAGAACGGAGTGGACTGATGAGCAGTACACCCGCCCTTTGGTCAATAGTCGAACATCTCGTCTACGCCAGAGTCGGCGTAAACTGGCAAATGCGAAACGAGCCCCCTGTATCTGCGCTGAGATTTCGTCAGAGATCAACCCTTTGGCACTGGCTGATGGTACTCCCCAAACAAGTGAAGTGGTCAACGTGCTCTACCACTTCACTTCCTATTTTTAAACTAGGCGTCAATGTAGTCCAGTCAGTCCTGTAACATCATCTTGCATTTGGCGGGAGCGAATCGCATGCCAAACAATTGTAGATTGCAGCTCAAGGTGTTCAGAAGACTCTGCATTTTTTCAGCGTCCTCGCCTAGTAGGACTATATCGTCTGCATATTCTAAGTCAACGAGATTGTTCCCTGGTAGCAAGTCAATTCCTGAGTCACTTACGGTTAAGTCCATTAACACATCTATGATGAAGTTGAATAGAAATGGAGATAATGGGCATCCTTGACGGACACCACTGGTCGTCATCAGTTCAGATGACAGCTCGCCGTAAGCCCTCACCTGGCTGTATGAGTACGAATAGAGTGCCTTAATCAGTGCAATATATTTTCTTGGAATTCCCTTTACAGCCAAGCATCTCCAGAGAACTTCCCGATCGACAGAGTCGAATGCTGCCTTTAGGTCAAGAAATATAATGACTGTTGGACGCCGGTAGGAATGCCTATGTTCTAGAATCTGTCGGAGGTTGAAGATATGATCAATACACCCTCTTCCTGGTCTAAAGCCTGCCTGGCTCTCTCGTGTTTGTGCTTCCCGAGCACCACTCAGTCTACGCATGATTATTGAGCCTAAGACTTTAGATACTATATTAGTCAAGCTAATCCCTCTGTGATTATCACAGGAAGACTTGTCTCCCTTCTTGTATATGGGGATAATCAGTGACTTACACCAACCCGATGGGACTTCTTCTGATTCCCAGACGCTGCCTAGTACCTCAGTCTTGTTGGACAACTGTTTCTTTTTTGTATTATGTGATGCATAGAGTAACAGTTATCAGCCAGCTCATACAAACCCAAAACGTTACGTGTTACGCGGATTTACATCGGATAAGATCATATCAGAACAAGAAACATTCATAACCAACAAAATATTTTGTAAACATACACAGTGAGTGGTAAACAAGCTTAATAGTATAAAATTTAAAAATAACAATTTTGGTGGTACATTTGCACATAATGCATGTCCACGCCAACACGTATGATGCTGCTGTAGTCTCTACTTTTAGATTTTGGGAGAAAATGTTTGCCACATCATACATTTTAAGGCGGGTGTTGTACCTAAAATTCAGACAACAGAATAATTAGTTGAACAGAAAACAGTTGACAGTAGGTAAGGTAGAATTTGATGGCATATATATATATATATCTTGCAAACAATGATTCTTTTGTGCTCACAATTTCTTTTTTTATTTTTTTTTCGTGTTTTTTTTGCATCAGTTGTTCCACCAGTGTTTTTTTTTAATAAGGCGAAAAGTAGTAACTACCACGTCGCCTAAAAATCATGGAAGAAAAAAATAAGGCCTTAGATACTTAAAAGAAGTGAAACAAACAAAACAGGCAAATCCAGTTAAATTTTTCAAATATTTCCACCTATTAATATTAGAACAAGACGATATATAGAACAGTGTTGTTTCCGACTAGATCCTCTTCCTTATGACTTATTATACTTCACATAGTTTTATATATACAAAAACACTTGACCAATGACGGTGGTCCTAGTAGATTTGAAAGGAGACGGACACATGAACACCGTGTATAATAAAGAGAAACTGATAACAGTTAAAAATAAACAACTATTCCTAAAAATGCAATTTAACGGTGACGTGGCCAGTAGTAGGGAAGTCCTGTATCTAAGATTATATGGAGTAATAAAACGGACTCATCCTGGCACCATTTTTTGTTTGTCATTTTCCAGCTGACCCATCATGATTCTACAAGAAGCAAAAGACAAGCTGTCTAGTTATGCCACTTTTGTGTGTATTTACAAATTCTGCTGCTGCAGAGAAAGTTATGTAGGGCAGACAAAGCGTATTGTAAAGTATTTTTCATCATTGTTTGGAGAAGGCCAAGTCAAATCTATATGAAGTTCTATTCTATCTTATTTGATTGATGGCAGCCAACAAGTGACAGAAGAAGTGTCTTCAAAGTTATCTGGCATTCTATCGAACCTTACAAACCCGCCTTTTACACAGACATGCCGGAAGCTATGAAAATTCGAGAGAACAATCCTGGTGTCTTTGCGTACAAAAGCTTGTTCTACCTTCATCTCTTCCTTGCTTGCGCCCTAGGTAGAGTCTAATTAAAAAAACCTACCACCAACATTTTATTACTTTCCATTCCCATTGTATTTTTATGACATTTGTTTAAACTCTGATTATGTGTCCACAAGATTTGACCTAATATATTTATTTATAGAATTTTCTACATATACACATATTACTACATTCGTTATTCTTATCGCCACCCTCATAAACCCCGATATTAAAATAATCTTTATTACTGACGTTCTTAACACTAAAGACACTATTATTGTGTCATCCACAAACTCTGGTTACAATTTTTATACATAAAGCTATGTGAATTAGAGTAGAGCTTGAAGAAGTTATGACTGAACTCCGGTTTAGACAAAGCAATAATTAGAAGACGTAATTTGTCTGAACTGTCTAATGTAGTTGTGTGCAGCACATACCGGCTTTTAATAGGCATATATATATATATATATATATATATATATATATATATATATATATATATATATATATATATATATATATATATATATATATATATCTTTTATTTGCTTACCGATATCTAGGAAAACGCATTCGACCAGCGTACACAGAACGGAAGCCAAATGCCATCCCCCTTCCACGTGCCCGACCAGCCCCTCTAACGAAAGGCGGACGATTTGTCAAGGACATTCCAGGGACATTTGTACGTTTCGGTAGGACTTTTAACTGCCGACTTCGGAAAGATGAGTCATCCAGAGCCATAGCAGCTTCCACAGCATCTCGTGTGTCAAACTCAATGTAAGCGAAACCTTTAGGATGTCCAGTGAATTTATTGCACAGTATAGTAACACGATTGATTGGTCCACATCCGCGGAAATGGGCTTCAAGTTCATCTGCTGTAGAACCATAATCTACCTATAATAATTTTTTAGGTGAATTATTAAATAATAGTAACTTACATTCCCCACATACACTGAACGAAGGTCAACTTCAGTTTTGTCTTCATCTGACAAAACCGAGTTATTCGACTCTATAAGCATAGAAAATATTAGAGGAATGACGAAAAGTCTGTAAAACTGAGCAATGAAACTAAGAAAGTTTTATTAACCTATATATATATATCGACTATAGATTTTACCAGCTATCTGACAACCAAGTATTATCCAGGACTAGCCACCTTCAGACAACATGTCTGCTCGGGACGCATGGGGTTTCAGGGCAACTCATTTTTATTATAATTTGTCAACTAGCCTATATACACAGAGTAAACATTGCCAATGTAAAATGACAAAAGGAAAGATAATCACACAGAACTAACTTCAACACAAGACGGATACCGGTATGAAGAAAGAACGGAATGTACATTCTTATAGAGTGCAGGGCTTGTCCCCACTCACGTGACTCAATCGGTCAGAGTACTCAGACCACAGTCGGAGAAAATATAACTGAAAGCCAATCTCAGTGAGGTGGTGTAGAGAAAACCTTCATAGCGTGTAAGCGAGAATCCTTGTTTAACCCACGACGTCTGCCACTCTGCAGACATCCAATGCCAAGTTCGAAGAGAACACCCAACTGACGATTAGTAATTGACAGAGATAATACAACCTTTCTTCGAAGAGTTCAGATGACTGTTTTACAATCAGTTCACTTCTGTATGAACACAGTTGATCGGAGATCATTTTATTCTGCCTTTCTGTATAGTATTGGAGAAACTAAGAGAGCGATTACAGAAATTGAACCTGTTGACTTCACCCTTCAGCGTCCCGTATGACACACTGTTAAAAGAACAGTAGTTGTTAAATCAGCCTTCGGGTTACGTGAAGATGCTCTTTCTTCTGCTTAAATTGCATCGCCTATGCGCGCCTCCATCCACACAAAGTGCTCCTAGTTTACCAGTTATCTCATTCGTCTTTCATTCCTTAGTTTCACTTCCGTCCATCTCCGCAGTTTATTCCTTTTGACGTTGGTTATGAAGAAGAGAAATCAACATTCTTAGTCTTTTTGAGGTCGGACATGAACTTAAGATTCAAACTTTCGTTCTCGATTTGATTACAATCGCATATGAGTATCAGTTGAATATTATGAACTTAAGCACCCGTAACAGAGCTTTTAAGTGCCAGACTATGCGCTAAACTTAACGTGTGAGGCCTGGCCATTGACAGTGGATGATATGAAAAGGCTGGCTAACTGTCTTTGATCATAAAAGCCTGAGTTCCACCTCCCGTGTGAAGTGTTATAATAGGGTGAGTAATATTGAGGTGAGGCATCTGTCGAGTGCTGGCAGGGGAGGGGAAATCAATAGACGAAGCTGTGAAGTTACATCGATTGAGAGAGTTAGGACAAATGTTACGCATGCCCAGCCATCGCCTTCGTCGATCGACAGTCAATGTTAGCTGACATAGGATATATTAAGTTGGAAAAGAGCCAGTGGTGGTCAAACCAAAAGATGGTTTCATCAGTCTATGAAGTCCACAACAGTTATTTCAGGCCACGTCGGGAGGTGTAGACTTCTTGACTGGTTGACGTCGTCGGGACGGTAAACAACAATGGACGGAGACAATTGGTAATATGGCTCAAAGTCGTTCTCAGTGCCTGCGGCAGATGCATCCACTCCTTGTGACTTATAATTTTCAATAAAACTATATTGTTTCTCGATATTACTATTCTTTTTGCCTCATGTCACTGTTTACTGTCTCTATTTCGCATTTCCTTCAACTCTCTTCTCTTGTTTTGTGTCCTACATCAAGTGTGGTGACTCGAACTCCTGCATACCTGCGCAAAGTTTTATACTGAAACCAGTCAGTCAGGAACTAAGGTTAGAACGATTGGAAGGGGCCATGATAAAAACTTGGTTACTCAAGCTTAATTTTGTGGTGATACTGACTCTTCGCAAAGTAAGAAATATTTTATCAGAATACGATCATTGAACTGCAATGAATCGATGAACTGTGTTGACTAAAATGAATGTCCCTATAGGATCTACCATACCAAAAAATTCGTTCGGAAGCTAATAAATTGGTTGCATTGTGGTACCAGTCAAAGGTTAATAAGGTTTCATTACTCAACTATCCTGCTTCCCTACTTCTCAAGAATAAACGATCATATAAATCATACATTTCGTGCTGACAACTACAAATCGCAGATGATCAGGAGCACTCTGGACTTTTCTAAAAACAACTGCAGGAAAGTAACAACTCACGGGTTTCGATTAGTGGTTATTCTACGCATACTTTTGTCTCAATCTCGCCTTTATTTAAATTTATCAAATAAATTTTCACCTTTTAACTATCAACACTGCTAGCAATGTATACCTGAACCCAACACTACAAAACTTTTGCAATGAAGAGCGCATGACACTTCTTGAGACATAACGCTGGCAGTAAGAATACATCAATATTATTTACAAAGTAGTAAAAGCTGCTAATAGCCTTACTCTCGTCCACTCATTTGCAACATCAGAGGGTGTGCAGGAGGTCCTTACTGGAAGCAATTTTGGTTATAGCGATATTCGGGTTATACTGCCATTAATCGAGCAGTCGACATGTTTGACGTATATCTTGTGATTACACGAATGAGAAATGGAACTAGGTGCTTGTAAACAATAGGAATCAAGGCAGAACTCTAGTAGATATCGTATGTCATACGACAAGTTCGCCTAAAGTGGAGAAAACTTACATCACATTTAGCAATTCTGGTGAAGGATGCAGGTTCATTGATATGACGAATTCTCACACATGCCTAGGATGATTCAGCATAGCGGTACATATTACATTGTCAATTGACGTATACATCTTTTGCAAACAGGGAAAGTGACCCAGCATATAAGGATTTAGTGTGACGGCTCTTCAAAGATACACAAACCAAACAATACTATTCGACTGATCATACCATAGTGTCTAGAAATGCATAAGATTGGACTAAACATGCGACAAAAAAAGCCGTTGCTGACAGTAAATGCTGGGTTGCGTAACACAAACCGTCCCTCAGCCGTTGCACTTACACAAGACTGCGTCGGTGGCACAGTGGTTAGGACTCTCACCGACCATGCACATGGTCCGGGGTTCGAGCCCCCGCCGACGCACACCTGATATCTATGGTCGGCCTGCGAAATTTGGGCTACCGATATCCACGCTGAAAATTCCATACTTGTACCAAAAATACAGTGTGGAATTAAGCTGTAATCAAAAAAAAGGAAGTCCGGAGCAACCTAATTGAGACATTTCACATATTCACAAACCCACCCGTCGTTGAGCGTGAAACAAGCTTTAGTGATAATCTACTGGGCTTTTGTTTTATACAAAAGAAGAAATTATACGAATAAACTCACTTGCAACTGGAGACTTATCAATCACACGGCGTAAATCATGTAGCTTATTGGCATCAGCTTCCATTTCTTTGAAACGTTCTTTGATTGCCTCAAGCTCCTGTAAAATTAGAGATTTAAGCACTCATATTTACAGCATCAAACTGCATTTCTTCGGCCGCATTAGCGTCTTCTTTGGTACTCTCCTCACAAAACTCATCCTCCTGGATTTCCTGGTCAGCATCTAGAACATATTCACTCATCCTTCTCAACCGCCGAAAGACACGACCTGAGACATTTTAAACAAGATTCAAATTCAAAATGCATTTATTGAAAATAGTAAATGTGTGGCTGTTCAGCTTTATGGCCTCAGAGCTTTACACCTTACTCAAAAAGAAAATGGCGTATTTAATTAAAAAAGAAACCATGATTAAGCTGAATATTCCAGCACCCCACCTAATTCCGAAGAAGCCGAAATATATAACATCAATGACACGAATATAGTGGGAATATCCGTAATATTCAAAAATTAACTTTTCCTTATAAGCTCGCTGAAAATCTCTAGCGGGATCCTCCAAGACCGGATTAATTGAGTGCTCCTCGATACCACGCCTCATCGTTTGGTACTAATTACAAAACAACTGCAGGGGACTACGATCTTACAGACGTCAACTGGTTAATCAGTTCCGGCCCTCAACTCTTCGACGAATTACTTGCCGCTATTGATTGTTACGGATGGAAACAACTCGTTCAGACACCCTCTCTTGGCGAGAACATGTTGGACGTTGTGTTTTGCCATGACATAATCCTGGACTCCACCCATGATGGTCACAGGTTTTCCAGTAGTGACCATAGAGTGGTACTCTACTCTCTGCTTTTCTCATCAATGCATACAGGAAGCAAACAAGATCCAGGGAGTATGATATGCTGTATTTACAAACATACAGACTGGTGATTAGTTCAAGAGCTAATTCGACGCTATCAATGGGGTGACTATATTACCACTGACTTGTTGGGGGCTGTAGTGTCCCTATTTTACATGAATGTTACCCTTTGTCTAGACACTGTTGCTCCTAAGAAGGTAGTGAGATTAAGTGGGGACCGAGCTGAATACATTCCAAGGGCATACCGCAATAAGTTAAGAAAGTCGATGAAACAGTAACATTACACTAGGAATATACAGCTCACTATATCACTCAAACAAATCACTCAATCTCTGAGCGTTGTGACACAATGAAAATAGAATCACTATGGAACAGATATCTTATGGTTAACCCTACTGTCTGATATTGATGGGCATGGATTAACTGATCTAATTTCACTGTTCTTTCCAGTTGTTCATGCCCTACTACCGGAATTCAGCAAATGCGTTGCATTACTCATTGGAATTAGACATTCAGCGAAGTTTCTGAGTAAACAGATCATCTTGTCGCAAACGAAAGTGAAAATTATTTACATCTTCGAGGAAATATCTAGATTACAAAGCGTTTAGACTTATCTATCGTTTTAGCACGGACTCAACGGACTCGCCGCTCACAGTTGCTCACAAAGTAAAAAGAGGTCTATGGAAGAAAGAGTGCTTCTGACATGACGCAGTACAACTACCGTAATAACAATTCAAAACAAAGTAACTACAGTTAGCAGGCACACAACACACTAAGCTACTATCTATTCGTCCAGTAGTGTCAACAAATGTTTCCCATCACCTTTGTAAATTAACGCCTAATTTCCACCCTAGTATGTGTTACTGGTGTTAGAAAGAACACAACTGTATTACTATAGAATGAAAGCACATGCACTAAAAGTGTGTTTGTTATGCACAAATTAGCCTGCAGCTGTATAGACAATTCCGGTGAATATTACTTTGGTATTGTCAGTGCGAACATATATGTTTCTCCATAACAGTCTTAAAAAGTTCAATTAAAGTACCGTTAACTTGAGTGACACATGTGTGGTCTAAATAAACAATAAAACAGAATGGTTTTCAGAGGATCATCTGATCAGCATTTACAGATAAGCACTTTAAAAACAATATATACAAGTAGCTGAAGAGTTCATCAAACTTAAGAGACTTCACAATTCATGCAGTGAGTCGACATCTAGTAGATCCATGTAAGTACGGTCAAATGATAAAAGTATCCAACAACAAACCATGCAGGAACTCCCAAGACTTGAATAGGAATGTAAACGTTAATAGTGACACCTCCATGACAGTTCTAACAACGGTAATAATAGCAACATTCATAGTCATAACAGCTATAATAATATTGCGTTTACAACCACTTAATCTTGAAAAGGAAGTGTTTCATCACTTACTGTCTTCTATCAGCTTCTTACTAACCTCATCTTCAGGCTGCATGGCATACATGGAATTGCCTAGAATGACGGCTGAAAGCATTATTCAAACCAAACTGCCATACATTGTATGACTTGGCAGAAGCTAAATCTAATGAGGGCTAACTTTGTAGGTGTTCCGGATGCAGTAAACTGACCAGGAAGTTTAAGGTCTCAGGTACAATTGAGCATCCATCACAGAGAAGAATGCACGTCATGGCTAAACCTGCCAGTGGTTAAATGACAACTAACGAATGAATTCAGTTAATTGAATTCACCCTAACTTGCCGAACACAAATATTCAAATTAGGAATTGTAGGAGTCAAGTCCAACTTCACGAAGTAATGAGGATTTCGATTACCTCCACGAGCATTCCCACCATATGACTCAAGGGATCATTTGCATATTTTAAGAGTACTCACTTGCAGTGCTCATGCACTCAACTAGTTTATACTGCATGAGTTCAAGTTCACTTCTGGAGGTAAATGGATGTCTTATTTGTCTTGGTTTAAGACAGGAAGCCTAAACTTATTACGCTACTCACTGTGATCTTCTGAGATGCCTACCTTTCCATTTTCGTGATGACAGTGGGCAATACACGGGTACTTGCATGTTACATTCACTGTGTTGTTTTCATCATGATTAACCTGACTGTTAAGCATTTTATACTCACTATATGGTCTCTGAAAATAAAAGTCAAGAGATAATCGAAGTTGTATGAGCGCACATCACCTATTCAGAACGTTCAATGCATTCTCGACACTCCCACAATTTCTCTGCTGTGCCGTAGTAATATGTGTTGTCAGTTACACAACCTATGACTATCTGTGGATTAGTCAGTGGGAACTGCAGACCTTCGCCTAATAAAGTCACCTATCTCCAGTATTTATTATCCTCAGATGTGTGTTAGAATGCTGGAGTTTTAGCAATTAAAAAGACACAGATGCATTATCAAAATACCAATCACTTTAATTCATTGACTAGATTTACAGTTTTCCAGCAACATAGAAACAGTTTGAAGAAAAAGCATGGGGGAGACATAGCTACACTTATCAACATCAGGTGGTCTAATTCTAATCATGTATGTTCTAAATTCTGTAACGACAATGTAGGCTGTTTCACCGTTATGCGTCGCCCAAAATGTTTGAGCAAATATACCAATGTGTGCGGAGCTAATTTCTACATAACACAAGACTGTGGTTTCCCAAATATACCCATTTTCGCAGACGAATTTTCTAAATTCGCTGCTTCCATCCCTGGAAGTTGCTTGTCTATAGTCCGTGGCGATTTCACTTCATGTGAGAGCAGCTTTCTTACATCACTTGGTCATGAGAACCTTGACTAGTTTCAGTCATGTCATCCTGGAGATGTCTCTGATGCACAGAACAAGCTGATAAAATCTCAACACTACGGATCATTACGGAGCAGAGCACAGAATGTCCGTCAAGTCCCTACCCAAACTTCATCGGCTTTTATAAAGCTTCAGTCAGAGTTCGCCGCGAAGTAATGTGGGGGCTGCTTCAACACTGCAGAGTGCACTAAATATTTATCAACTTAATTCAACAAATATATGGCTACGATGATGAACTAAACGACCCAGTAAATAATATTCGTGTTGAACTAAGTATTCTGGAATTACGATGTGATGGATCCTGTCTGAAGTTTAACGGTGACGAATGCAGCAGCATTGTCGACCTAACTCTTAAAGTAAGTGGACAAGATCTATTCAAGCTCAATTCGGCTGAAGATCTCGGTACCAGATACTCTAGTGATTTCAGATTGTCTGAACAGATTTATTGCAACAGATATGAAACACGTAGACTTCTATGTTGTATCACTCACAATTTCTTCTGTTTCGGAACAAGAGTTTTATTATAAAAGGTGTGCGTTCGACCTATTTCAGAATACTCCTCGTTTACTCTAAGTGGAATCCGACAGAATCGTAAACTTTAATTGAAGCGAGTGCAATGACAGCTTGCTCTAAGAGTCCTTGGCTCAGAACGGGATATTGACTAAGGAGAACGTTGCAACAGACTGGAAATAAAACCACTCTGGAATAGAAGTCTTAAGCCAGGCCTTGTTATCTACTACAAGTTAACCAATCCTCTCATGCACTCCTTCAGGCCAATAACTAAACCTGTTCCTGTCATCAGTTGAGACTTAGAAACCATGACAACCTAGTTGCTATAGAGCATTGTCAGACTCACATTCGGCCCAACTTCTTCTGAAATAAGTTTTCAGTCATTTGGAATAGACTACTAGCTAATGTGCGTAATGCAAACAAACTTCAAGCGTTCATCTCCTCAGTCAGGAGACTGCTCAAAGATGACAATGCACCCCTTCATCTGACTCCTACAACCTCTTTTCATCCCACACATCTAAACCTGGTCTGGTAAACCTATGAGTAACATAAGACTTCATTAATAAGTGTTAATATTTTTGAGATAGCCTGATAAACATCTCTAGACGGAGCGCAGACAATAATCTATACATGCGTTATAAAGTTCAGCACAACGGATCTGGTGAGTTAGTGTAACAGTGGAAATCAGCTTCTAGATAAATTGTATATATATAAATTTACCAATCACTCCTTGAGGACTTCTCGTGCATATTTCTGTGCTTCCATGATTTCCCTTTTGTTTTCCTCACCACTCTAGCTTCTATACGATTTTTTGGATGACGATATAGAATGCAGATATTCGGCGAATTACAATGACAATCTAAAGGGATCTGCCTCACAAAATACCACATTCTTTCTTCTACAATGCATCCTGGACGGCAGTTTTGGAATAATACTGCTATGCCAACATATGAATCCCAATCTCTGTCTGTGCAACTTAAATAAATCTCATAATGAAGGTGTCAGGGGACTTATCCCTAAGTTCCTATTGTTACAAAGACGCTCCGCACCGATGAATACTATGTACTTTCTTCGACTTTAACTCCAAAACACCAGCATTGTAAGAAGGAAGTTATATTGTTTGGCAATTAAGGTGGAGAACGGTACAAGTCTACAAACAAATGTCTTACACAAATTT